TGGTTTCCGCTACTAAACACCCGTTCCACAGGTGCAGAAGAAGGGATTGTGGTATTAAATTTAAAAAATAAAGATTTTACTGTAGCATAGTTATTCAAGACTGAAAAATCTTTTCTTTTTTCCTGCAAATAGACCATCGCTTCGCTGTTTGATGTGTCGCAAATTGTGCAATATTTATTACGTACGCTTAAAAAGAATATTTTTTTTGTTTTTATTCCCAGACTACAGTGTTCAAATTATGTTTGAGTATATCTAATAATTATTTTCAGCATTAAAATTAATATTTCAAAAGAATACCGGAAATGATTATTCTGTGCTGAAGGTCTGTTGTCGGCAACCTGTCATAAATTATTATTCTTCAATATCGGCTTACGATGTTTTTATGACCATGTCCGGTAATCGTCTATCCCGGTGTGGCAGGTATATACATTTTAGGAAGAATTGCTGGTTGCGTTTAAGGCAAAATAAGTACAATGTCTTAGAAAGGTATTTAAAACCCCTTAAAGGCTGCCTGGCAGGCCGGAATCACCAGAGTGCAACTTTAAATTTTCAGATTTTTGTTGAAACTCATTTTATTTTAATCTCGTTTCACGATTTCTGAGAATATATCACGATAAATTATTCAACCGAGGGTTGTAAAAATATTAATTTTATTGCCCAAGATTTACACTTAAACATAATCGGCACATTCTAGGGCAAAACGGACCTGCCAAGCCCGCCTCGCGTTAGGTCCAACTATGAAAAAGTGAAGAAATGACACATGTGGCAATAGGAAAAGATGCAACATTTGTCTGAAAAATAAAGGTATAAAACAGTAACAAATATGCGATTTATGCGAGAGAAATGTATGTATTGGACATTCGATTAGTCGATTACAGAACTAATTTGTGCTAATTGAAAAAATTAATCATTATGTAACACGCAATTATTATTTTCTAAAAATAATAACATACCTTAAACAAATATTTTTACTATAAAATTACTCTTATTTAATAACACAAATACAACCAGCGGGCCTACCGGACCCGGATTGCTCAGGTACACAGATAAAATGCATTGCCCCGATAAGAGTGAAACGCAGTGAATAGTGAATTGTGGTTTATGGTTTTTAAAATACCATCTTACCATGGCTTAGATTTATTACCCCTCAGGATTATATTTAAAGATGTATAAGTACTGAAGGCTACAATGTAGGAAATGGTGGTATTTAAAATATGAAAATTTCCGTGACAGAACACTATTAGTGGATCTCTTACCTCTATTTTTGTTTATGTGCCCAAAATCACCAACATGAAGTATCAAAAATTACTACTAGTATAACTCAACTAATAACTACTGAAAAAAAAAGTGAAATAAAAAAATGTATCTGTATCTGCGCCATTAATTTTAAATTCGATTTTATCTAGATACAGATTCTCGATACCCAAAAATGTATCTAGATACTTTATTTAGATACAAGTATCTAGATACTGCCCAACACTGGTCGTGTACCTAATAGTTAATTCGTAATGAATGCCTTTGTTCTTGAAATATTTCATCATTTTACCTGACAGATATTCTCGCCCATTGTCACATCGGAATCTGCGTCTTTTTCTTTTGAGGTAGCTATTCACCATCGCCTCATATTCTTTGAAATGTTCAAAAGCTTCAGACTTTGCATGAGCAGATAAACTACGACAACGTGTGTGTAATCATCGATGAAAGTTAAAACATATATTTTTCCATTATATGCCCCATTTTAAATTGGCCCCATTAAATCACTATGCACAAGTTGCAGTGGTCTAGTTACTCTTGTTCTCGACTGGAGATTTACTTTTTCGTGACCAGTTTTGCCGATCCGATATTTCCCAATCTTTTGTGTTGTAATTCACAGGTTTCTTTAATGACTGGTTTAACAGGAGAACACTCGACATCTAGTGAACTGAAGGCCAATTTATATAGTTTCTCTTCTCATGTGCCACCATGATCACTTTGTTTTTATTGTAAATATTTCCCTTTTCATTTTCGAATACAATTTTCAGACCAAACATTTCCAATTTTCGTACTGACAGTAAATTAAACTCCAAGTTTGGAATAAAAACACATTATTAACGGAAACATGAGTTCTTTGCTCATTTACGATAGCCTTAACAAGAAGATCCTCCGTTTCTCTAGCAATCAAGAATGTGCCTGATCTTGCACTTCTTATTTTGCGAGTGTTCTACAAAAAATCACGACTCTGTCAAATGTTCTGTGCATCCAGAATCCAAATACCATAAGTTATCTGCATGGTCTTGGGTAAGTCCAACAAAGCACAGTTCGGTATTTACTTCACAGACATATGCCTGTTCTCAGTTTTTGCTTCCTGCAATCCGCCTTTTTGTATCCGACCATGCCACAATTAAAACATTTAAATTTTGGACGTGCATTCACCTTTTTTCCCGCTGCAGGCGCTATGAATATAGCTAGGAGTTCTGTTTCCTTCTGAGTCATTCGACGTGCCCCAGATCTCTTGGATTCTTCATCTAGGAGTCTGTTTTTGACAAAGCTGATGACAACGTCTAAATAGCAGTGACCACAGTGTCATATTCAGACAGCATTGTTAACAGCAAATAACACAATCACTTTCTTTGAGGTTCGCTCCAGTTGACCACAGTTGGCGAATTATTTTGTCAAACTTGATGAAGTGTGTATTCATTGAATTTGCTCCTACATTTAGCTCCATTGTCAGAAGATTCTTCCGTAGAATCACCTGCGACGCCATGCTTTTTCTCTCAAATGTTTTCGCAGCGTGAACCACATGTCGTGTGCTGATTGCACCTCTTCTCGTTTTTGTGTAGCTACGTTAAACATTCTTCCTTCTGTTTCTTCTGATCCGCTCTATCCCTTGCCAGAAACTGTACTTTTGTGGTATAATTTTCGCCAAAATAAAAAACCAACATTTTGTACGAATTGCAATAACCGGATCACAATGCCGATGGTCCAGACTTTTTTATTGCTCTAACTACCGCTTATTAAATAAAACATTGCATTTTATTTTCATTTTCGATGTTATAATTTACATTTGGTTAATTATAACTTGTCTAGGTCGAGGGGAGGAAAAAATTTCTCTATAGGAAGCTCAACATCCCCTGGACTTCCCCTAGCTACGGCCTTGTCTAGGGGTCATAAAACGTCGACAAAATATGAAAGTCCTCCATTACTATACGTCCTTAGCTTATGCTCGATAAGTAAAACAACTTGAAAGTGTTTATGTTTACACAGGATAATTATTATTTTATCTGTTCACGCCTGAATCACAGCATAGATATCAATCAGTAGAGACAGCTCGTGTCGGCGCCTTTGTTCTTTCTGACCCGAATTTTAAGTCGTCATGGGTGGTCGTTGCCTAAACTATTCCTAGATGTCGCCACCCAATTTAAAAAGTATCACTTCATTTACAATTTCAAAAATTGATTCGTGTACGCAATATTGCAAACTGTGTAGTTTGCTCAAATCGTATAATCGTGAATCGCAATAAGAAAAAAAAGTCGATATTTAAATTATAAACACGATGATTTGTTACAGTTTTTATTTTATTACTTATACAATTTGACAATTCGCACATTCTTTCCCTGAATACTTGAGGTTTAATTATCATTGTAAAAATAATGTAATAAATACATCTAAAAAGAAAGAGGTTTATTTAATAAAAAATAAATAAATAAAATAAAAATTAAATTACAAAAAGGAAAAAAGTTAATGCTGTCAAATTATTTTGTTTCTATTAATTTTTTCACCTTTGGCATTTGTAAATTTAAAGCTAGCATTTACAAATCCGGAAATGGTACACTTTGTAATGGACCGTAGGTAAAGGAGTATTTTATGAGGACTAAATATTTTTCGAGAATAGACTCTTTTAGTTATTAAAGAAAGTATCCCTCTTATTTATATATGTAGAAAGCTAAAAAAAAGTAGAGAAATAAACAGACAGGCATGATATTGTAATTATGGTAATTACTTTAAACAAGAATAAATATAAAAATAAGAACAGCACCTGTTAAATTGTTTAATAATTTCAAAAATTTTACGAAAAAAACGCATTTTACCTAACAACTTAACCCGTAAGCGTAATATCATATAAAGTAAAATTTTTATTTAAAAAAAATTATTACAAAAAAAAATACATATTTGTCGACTCGCATAAAGTGCAGGTAATTGGTATGGGTCGACGCAGGTAAGAATAATTAAGGAAATCATGAAACCGGAAGTCCATAGGGATTAAGCGAAAAAAGATATTTGACAAAATGTACGGCTTGGGTCATTTTTACCCACGTGCGACTGCTTATGGGTTAAGCAACGTCTCAAAATAAAACTCAAGATTGTGTAGGTCAAAAAAAATATATATATACATGATGAATAAAAAAATTGTTTATTGAGTGAAGGTCTGCTTATATAATTTTTTGTTACGTGTAGTTTGTTTCTTATTATTTTTATATTTAATTTTACCACAACAACGGAATCATATATAATAAATTTTTTATATTTATTTCATAACCACCGTTGTTGTTCGTTTGCGACGACTTTTTAAACAAAAAGTGTGTTATGTTTACTATCTTTTCCAAGAATTCCAAACACGAGGGAGAGAATAAGGCGCACAACAGGGATCCTGTATGAAAATTCATCGGACAAAGATTTTACCTTTTATTGTGAAAATTACATTTTTATACTATTTGTACAATTCTACTGGAAAAGCAGTCTTAAACAAGCAAAACCGGCAAAAATATTGTAACAAAACTGCCAAATTTCAAATATTTTAGACTAAAGTCACTAGATATATAAAGTACCGCAATTGGGCGCCATATTGTGTCCGCGCCAAATTCAAAATAAATAAATAAAAATTAACGGACTCGATACTTGCGTACAAAGCGTAAATGTAGATTTTTTTCAAATAAACATTTATTTATGTTTAAGCGTTATTTGTTCAGTGCACTTAAATGCCATTGATAAACATAAGGGGTGAGTAAAAAATATAGATGAGAAACCTTGCAATACCAGTTTATTAACAAAATTTCGGCCGCAATAGTTTCCTTCCATCTGCTCGCTTTGCTTCGAATTGTTGTTCAGAAAAATGTAACTAAAAGTAAATGGTATTTAACATTGTGCAATTACATATTCAAGCTTTAGCAAATTACTTCGCAAATTCTGGAGTTGTCGTTCAAATCGTCCCGGCCTATTAAATTCTTCCACATCTCTCTTCTAGACCTATTACTAACACCTGCAACAATTTAAATTAGTTGAGAAAACTCAATTGAAAACTTAGTTGTAACCTACCTGTTGGAAGACGAAACAATCGGCTTTTATTTTTACACAAAGGAACAGAACAACTTGTCATTTTAAAATAAAAGTCATAAAACACCACAAAAAAACACAAACAACTTTACAAAAAACACAAACAACTTTGCAAAAAACACAAACAACTTTACAAAAAACACAAACAACTTTGCAAAACAGGACTTACGCCACGAGGTGATGCGTTAAAGAGCGTTTGACAATTAACATTGACGTTTGTCGGTCGCCATATTGTGTCCGAAATATACGTTCTCTCTCTAACACATTGAAACATTCAATTGCGGTACTTTGGTTATCTAGGGACTTTATTTTAGACGTCAGTTGGGCGCCCTCATTCGGTCATAAAGCGAACGACCACCCACGAAAACGGGTCACGAAAAACGGCGAGCCGTCTCTACTGATTGATATCTATGCTGTGCCTGAATACTTTCGTGTAGACAACACATTATACACATCGAAAGCAACTTTGATCAATCTATTAACCCTTTAAATAGTAAATACAACGATACAAAAATCGCACTATGTCATAAATGACAACAAAGACGCCAAGCAACTAATAATAGCAAAATTCAAACAAAATAGAAAGTAATTTATTCAATCTTTAACTAAATATAAAGAAAAGAAAATAAATAAATAGGTAGGTATCCTATGATAAGTGCTCATACATACGTAGTCTAATTAGAATCTCGGGCGTTATAATTATAAAGATCTGTACGACACCACGATCCTTTCGTTCAATTGATCTTCATTTTGAACTGGAACAGCTGAAATCGGCTAGCCTCAAGACGTTAAAAACCGAACTCTGATTAGTCTACATTTGTCTTGCGATTTGCCATTGACTCACGTGAGGATTTTCTTCTATGAATTCAATTAGAGCAGCTTCTTTTTGTGCCGTTGTTACTATACGACGTCTAACTTTAGTTTTCTTAAACTGATCTTGGTTAGAAGAAATTGTATCGCTTGGCAAATAGACGAACGATAGCATCGAAATTTCCATCACACTTTCCCAAAGTTAAAATCATATGGGTTTTTTTCTAAATTCGAAAACATTGTTAGCGAAAGTTGAAAATATGTAATTTGTTATCATTCTGGCCCAATCAATGCCATCTACACGTTATTTATTATTTATAAAAAATTTAAGACAAAGTTGTTTATGGAAAATAAAATGTGTTGCCAATTCAGACTTATCCAGGCGTGAACAGATAAAATAATCACCTATGATAATCACCCTGTACATTGGAAGAATGTCACGTAGAAATTAGTTTGATTTGAATGAGTTCGTCACTTGAAAACAGAGGATTAAAATTGTCTGCCTCGTGTCTGTGAAGCACTATACCACCAAGCTAAACCGCCTATATGAGCGTCACGTTCTATCTTGGTAAAGAATAAGGGGGTTTAAACAATAAAAAAATATAGTAATAATAAACAAAATCAAGATATATTCGTAAACCACAAGTACAGGAGTATATCCAAATTTGGGTTACCGTTTTACCAACTACACGATACTCCTAATATATAAAATTTGACAACAATCCGTCCAGTAGTTTCGGAGATTATCTGTCTAATAAAAATCCAGACAGACGGCAGACAGACAGCTAGACACAGACGGAAACTGGAGACCTATTTCTTGGTAATCTAGGAATCATGAATGGTGGGGACGGCCGACGCACTCGATTACAATACTTCCTTCGCTTACGCTCGGATAGTAAAAAACATTTGTTTTCTTAAAATTGTATTTTTCTTCAACAAAAAACTGCTTCCCTTTTCTTAAATTTCAAGTTTTAGGCCCATAACCAGACAATAATCAGAGCCATTGATAAGAGATATCCTTGGCGGATGCCGATAATGTGGCATCCTGACGATTGTTACTAAAAATCCCTAACTGTACAACTCAAATTGTGGCGCCAAACATGCACATGTCAGCAGAAATTATTTCGTTATTCAGTCTTTACTGGATACATATTTTGGGAATCCCAAATCGTTTAGCCCTTTTTCGAGCCAACAGTTCTTTGTGCTACTCAGCTCATTTATAACACATGTACCACGTTTTTTCTGTCCACGGAAATGCAAATCTTTTCACATAATTTCGCACCACCTGAACATTAAAAAAAAATACTTATCGCTTTTAAAATTGTCGATACACATGAGCATGTTTTTTGAGCGCGTCAATTATACATAGATACATATACTTACAGGATGTTTGCTAAACATGAAGCAGAAATCCAGGGGGCTATTCCTTGGACTATTTTCCGAAATACGTTTTGAGGCGATACAAGTAAAATAAAACTATGCTGTATTGCTCTGGGCGTACGGAGTACATATAGAAATAAGTTTCCATAGTGACTTGGATTTTTATTTATAAGGTCATTTGATAACAGTGGAAAATGAAAATTTGAAAAATCGGATAACTGAGGGATGTAATGTAATAAGGTAATAAGAAACGACTCAGAATTAAAAAAAAAAATCGCCGGTCAGTGAGAAGACTGCATGCACGCATCATAGCTAGTCATAGTAGTCATGCACATTTTCAGCAGTTTTTATAGATTATAAATATTAATGATATGAACTATCACAATGAAACGAGACAAGGAGCCGAATAGTTTTATCACATCAGTTACCCATCTTAAAAAATCGCTTTTTGACACGCTCGCAAAAATTGCAACGAAACTTGTGTGTCTGAAACTTTGAAGTCACACATCCTAATACTGCCATTAATTTGCTTTAAATTTTAATATCTTCCTCCATCGTTTAGTTTTTTTGACCCTGCCTTCTTTAATTGTAACAGTATTAGGTATACATACATACCTTTTAACGATTGGGTTGTTGATATTGAATTTTTAAACATTTTTCAATATGTTCTTGATCTTACAAGAAACAGAGATACAAAATGTTAATATATTCTAACAACGTAGACTCTTAATGAATTGTTCTACATCTCCTTTTAACTTGCGCTTGACAAAACCGGTCCACGAGAAATGAACACATAAGCAATAATAGTTGGAACGTACCAGGGGTGGGATTTTGTTTCTATAACGATAAAATATCGGTACCGATAAAATGTGATCGTCTTTTTCTTTCGCATTTGAAATTTATATTTCCGTCCTTGTCATTTATCGCTTCGTATCGTATTGGTAAAAACAAAATCCCACCCCAGATCCCCATCTGTGAAAGTTTGAAATGTTCCATTGCAAACATTCCGAAAAAATCCTACAAAGCAAAATACAATCCACAATCCAAACACATTTAAATATTCATTTCTCAAAACCATCTAAACATCAATTAACATTTTCGCATATGTATCGGTAATTCCATATGCCACGGGTATAAAAAAAATGAATATTTATTAATTTCATCACAATAAAACATTTAAAAGCGGAAACAGGTAGGTAGGTACTATATAGATTACAGTGGAACATATTATTAATGTAAAACTGTTATAAGTATGACGATAGTTTCGACATAGGAAAATTAATTTGTGCTGCTAAATATGTGCATGAGTCTTGAATTTGAAATTACAGATATGTGACCTCCGTATTTAATGCTATGTACATATGTATAGTTACAATACAACCAACACTCAACCTTTTGTAATGAACTGTTTTTGTTTTTACTAATTTACATAAAAAAACAAAAAAATTATAAGCCCTACACATGGTCCACCCTAAAATTTCATGGTGCTTCTTTTGGCCATTACGTTTCGCCGAAGATGTCAGGAGAACTAAAATCACTGAACGGCACTAAAATAATGATTTGGTGAAATTCATTCTATTAATTTATAAACCGCGATCACTGTTCTTTATCGTCGTCCCATAATGCAGTTTCCAACTCGAATATGAATGAATATAAGGCAATATTAGTTTCAATTTGGCCAACAATAGTCGGTTTTGTCGTTCCTTCAATGAGACGTATCTACCTAAATTTCAGGGTTATATTTATGAAAACAGGTCAACAACATAATTTCCTACTGTTGAAAGTCAACTACATACTGACGTACAAAGTTAAAATTCTATTGCTGTACGTAATCTTTACAAACACCTCAATTAAATTAATTACAACATTACAGAATTAAACAAACCCGTCCCTTTTCATCGTTTACCGCTTGGACATAGGATCTGTAATTTACGGTTTTACGAATTAAGGGATTCAGTTTTTTAGCTTTGGAATTGTAAAATCGTATTAGTATACTAAAATAATGTTCTTACTATTTTATTACCCTTACTTTTCCTCATACTGCCCACTGGAGATTTATGTGTAATTTCCTAGCAGACCCGCAATTTTCAAATATTATATATAGTATCACTTTATCCAGTATTTAAAGGAATACTACAAATTAAATAACCAAACCGTAAGTGCATCTATTTAATTTACAATTTTATGTACATTATAAAAATGTACAGAGTGATATTTACTAACGCCTTAGGACTGAAATGAATAAATCTTTTAAAAATATACATCTAGGCAGCCACCAGCTGCTACACTTTCGATCAAAATAGCTGCAGCTCTTTCACCTGAAGCTCTGATATGATCGATTCCTTTCAGTATTTTTAAGGGAAAAAAATTCTAACAAGATGAAAAGTACAAGAATTGTTGGTATTTCAAGATGAAAGAGTCGCACAACACCACTAGAATGTCTATAATACATTATGGCAAGCAAAATATAGTTAAAGCTTTAACTGGAAGAAAAATTAGAATACAAAATCTAACATTTTTAATATTTAAACAACGTTACATTCTTATCCAGGGGTTTTCTTTTTAACTTAAAAACTAAACTACAGCAAACACACAAACGTTTTATAGAACTTTATCAAACAATAAAAACAACGTTAAGTAAAATGAACAAAGAAAGCGTAATCAAAAAGTGTAGACTGATGACTTCATAAATAATAAAAATTTAGTCTGTTAATAGTTCATATTAAGTCAAATAGGGCATCAGGTAAAGATCACCTGTATGTGATGTTTCTACAGAACTGATTTAAGGCCTCTATTGGCTTTGGACATTTATATATAATATAAAAGATAAACATTAAAATAACTTATTTACAGAAAGAGTAACAATTAAAATTAAAAAATAATTGTACTGAATAAACAAAAACACCCACCAATTGCAAAACCAAATATTCAGTCAAACAAGTTTTAAAAATATTGTTCAAAAATTACTAGTTACAATCATATTAAGAAATTGCATCTGTAAAAGAAGACTAGTACGGACTTATTGCAACATATGCAATCATTATTTTACTTAAAAACAACGACAGCCTGGGTATCCAGTAAGTGGGTGCAAACAATGTATTAACTAACAAAAAAGAAAAACAACAGCAGGTAAAATCTATATAATTTTCTCTTAAAACTTCTAATTATGGAATTAAAACAGACAAAAATGCCCCATAAGCGTGTATAAATATATTTACAAGAGATTTTCCAATGGCACCATTTGATTCCATTTCATATTAACAATTCTGATAGTGATACGATTTTGTTACATTAGATGAATTCTAAAATGAATAAATAATTTTATATTGAGACATTTGATAAAATTAAATATTAATATAAGACCAAATAAATAGGCACTTTGGTCCAGTTTCCTTACAAAATACTTGTAAAAAATCTAATTTTAATATTTAACCAATGTTAACTCAACAATAAATACAAAATGAATGAAATGACACAAATAAGGCTCTCATTATTGCAAAACAGCACCAAGTGGTAAGACGCAATATGCTCGTCATATCTAGAATAAATCCAAGACAATCAATTTGTACAACATTTTGGAATGTATCTTTTGAGCTTCACGTTTTGCCTCAACATCAACTTTTTTCTATAAATATGTACCACAAAGATGACATTTAAAATCCTGCTGCTTAGCTAATCATAAAAATTAAGTACGGTGGTTTGTTTGACCTTAAAGACAATCCGTCACCAACCGCTCAGTATCTATTTTGCAAATTTTGAGAACCCTCAATTGTTATAATCAATGTGATCATAAGCAAATAAGAATTTGTACATGAGCAAATAATGACGAATGATTTCCTTTATAAGAAATCAAAGAGATCTCGTAAACCTTCGTTTGCATCCAAACTGAAGTTGTATTCAGATTGCATTGCCGGCGGTTCCAAGTGTAGAAACGGCTCATTCGAGAAAAATGAGTCGATTGAATACCCTGAAATGAAAACAAGGCAATCAAGAACAAGCTATGTCAGTGAGGATGTTAATACAAATAGAATGATGATTTACGTTATTGAATGTAGTGGCAGGCAGTAGCAAGCAGTTAGCAGATAACCAAACGATGAGCTGAATCCCATGGTGCTACGCAAAACAGCAGCCCACATGAAATTCAGTACAACGTACTGGTAAAGCATCCCAAGGAATGTTTAGCAGAAAAACAACAATGCTCACACAGACAACTGCGAACTGAAGCATGAGTTTAATTAATGAGTTAAGACTGGTTCATGTTAGGTTCGAGAAGCAAGCTGTAAACGCATAGCTAGAACTCTGCCTGTGATGTGAATCATACACACACAGGTCACAGTCAGAATCCCAGAATGCACTTACAAATAAGCACTTGTTAGATATTTTCGATCAATCGCAACTTACATAACACTGATTGTTAGTAACAGCATTTTCTTGCGAGTAGTTGCGATAATATCCTAATTTCAAAAATCACGATCAATTCAAAAAACACTCGGGACAGACACAAAAAGTTAAACAAATTAAAAGCATGTTTTAGAAACATTAATGTCAGAACTTGCCATAGCAGATACCAACACCTGTAAAAAACTGTTCAAAAAAATTAGTAGAAAAATTTGTTAAACAGAGTCCGAAGTATGAAGATTTTTCTTTCCAAGATTTAGGTCGAGAAATATTTGAACATTGAAAAACACCACAAAGGCAACAAGGAACTTTCACACGTGTCCATTTTTAGCAGAATCGGTTAAAAGCAGAAGCTGTAAAGTAACAAACCTGTTTGCGTATTTCCTGGATGCATGGAATAAGGTCCCATCATGGGTCCTAGCACCTCATTATCATTAATAAGGGGTGCCGTCCCCAATTTAGAACTTTGTGTGGAGTCCAAACAAGACGGGTAACCATCCACCAATAAGGGATAGGGGGAAAGTCGTAACGGGTCCATTTCTGCAGCCGCTGGTTCTTGAGATGACGTTAAAACGTTATTATATGTAAATGAATTTTGTACTGATAGAGGTGTACGGGCACTGACTACAGGATCTTTTGTAAAAGATAAGTTCCTGCATATCTGAAATAATAAATTGCATAATAATTATCCACTACATTTACGAGGGTATTTTGATAAACAATTAGCCTAAATTGCACAATACAATTTTTTTTTAATTTGCAAATTGTTTTTTGTTCTACTGTGGCTTAAGAATTTATCAAAATACCCTTGTATAGCCATATGAGTTTATACCATGAAACTACTGTACACAGTAAACTGAGGAAAGTACATTACAATTTCAGCTAGGATGTTGAAACAATCTTTACATTATTATTCAAAAGTGTGCTTTTTAAATTAATCCTCGACTTTGGAGTAAAACATCCACGAAGTCATCCATTTAACCAAAAGCTGAACATTTTTATATATAAAATATGATCATATAATTGAAAATTTGACTTGACACTGTTATAATAAAGTATTAATTATGACCACAAATGAAAATTACAACGTACTGTTATAATTAGATCGCCACTTCCTTCACCCGGTTGTAAAAAACTTTGATAAAATATCGTTTTATCTACTATGTATTAGATTGCTGTTTTCCCAAACAAAATTCTCTCATTGCTAAATCATCGCACCTTTTATTTTGTAATGAAAACAAATTGTCTACTTAATGATAAGTTAAAAATACGGGGGTTTCCAAAACACACCATGTAATCAATTCGACAAAAAAACTTTATAATGAAATTTAAAATGATTTATACTCCTCGTGGTTTCTTTGTTATAGTAAAAAATTATCGGCTTCACCATGAATACTGTTTATTTAGACTTTATGGGGAAACTTAAGATATAATAAAGAATATACATAATGAAACCGATAATTCTTTATTATCTCTAAACTATGTTTAACTCTATTTTTTGTAGAAGTATCCCCAAAGAACGTAAAAACTGACAAATGCAACAGAAAAAATTAAAAATTCAGACACAAAGATTATATCAAATAATACTTCAATTGATTTTTCAAAAAAACAATCAAAGAAAATTCCAAATCTTGTACTTCTGCTTGTTTTGACTTTTTTTCAGTATTGTACCGACAGAGCAATAAAAAGAAGATTTATCTCCAACAGAATTTTCTTGTGAGATTACCATTAATTTGAAATTTTGAATTAAAAATACAAGGATCAAAAACAAACTTTCAAAAATGAATGGCTATCTTTGATCGTGTCTTTTATGGGTCTCTCGGTATAATAACAGGCGTGTTTTGTTCAGGTTACAAACATTTACAATTTCATGGAAATATCGGTAAAACAGATACTATTCGTTTGGGTCAATCTATATTTACACCGTTTCCTCAGCTTACACACTATCAGCTATAGGTCAGCCCATGCTGCAGAGCTGAACCCACATATCCCTTGGTATTTTATCCATGTGGTCTGCGTTTACAGTATAAGGACTAAACTTATTTAGGTCGAATTTGGTGTTTAGGTTGCGGACTAAACATCGCTGTAAACGTATGTCCTTGATAACACAGTGGACAACTCGACAGAGGAGGTATCCAAATGAAGTAAATATGCATGTCTGTCTTTTGTCTTTGTGCATACATTCTGGCCACTTTTCTAAACGGAAATGTTTTGTGTCGCTATGATGGCATTTGTTGTATGTCATTAGTGCCAAACTACATACTACAAGCTACTGCCGTCATTGTCACGGTTAATTTTTCAATGGTATTTTCAGTTATCTTATGAATGTCTTATCACAAATGACATATATTATTATGGTATGGGAAGCACCATCAATTTACGATAACATGAGTACGGCATGTTCAGATAGGTTATACATTCAACACTTCAAAATCGAAAATGTGCAAACTTCAACAAGGAATAACATTGACAACATACATATATTACAAAACCATCACGTCTTAGTAGAAGAGACCGAAAGAAAATTGTTTGAAACTTGAAAATAAAACTTCTGTACCCTAACGAAAACTTACTTCAAAATTCGATGTGTGTACGTCATGTAAAGTTCAAATATAACCGAAATATTCAAAGACAAAATGGATTACAATGTAGTGCAAAACAATTTGCACAAAATTCGACAATATATACGATCAAGGAAATTTAACGAGGAAAAAACCAATTGTGTCGAACTTACTGAAGTTACCCAAAATTATTTCAGCGCCTTAGTCTAGATACGTTAACGTTGTTGGCCGAAATTTTATTAGAAGTGGATGTCACGTGATCTGCGTTGTAAACCAGTTTTCTGGATTGGAACAGGGTATTCTATTCCGAGGGGAGTCGTTGAGTCGCACTCGCATAAATAGTTTTCGAACTATTGCAATAATGTGTGAATGAATGTATGCCAATGATGCTATCCTCTCTCTGGTCGTTCATGGTTATAGAAGCTTCGCGGATTCCGCGAAGTACACCAAGATTACGTATTTTTAAAATAGTTTCGTTAAACAAAATAGCAAACGTTTTTTCTCAAGGTGTGTTATATTAATTCTTTAGAGATCATTGATGTTTTGAACAAGTGGCAAATACATCGTAAGCATACGGACTGCTCTGCTGTGGATGTACGGCGGGTTGCATGCGGGTGAAACTGATACAGGAATCTTCATAAAATAATCGTTATTTCTTCAATTATTTAAAATCAATGAATAACTACAAAAACATAAAATTCTCGATTAGGTAACGACCGGTCCGAACAACGTGCATAGCAAGCTATCAAAATCATCGTTTTTGGGAACGAATGGGAAATGTAACGTTTCGATTGGTCCTTAACAGTTCCTTAATTTTCAGTTCAAAACGCGTAAATTAAACTCGGGATTGTTAAATATAATTCGTTAAGTTCTAATTCTTAAGTATAATTTCATAATTGGTTGGAAACAACTTAATATTTTAAACCGAATTTACTGGTCAAAATTTTTAGGTAACATCAAACTTTTGGTGTAGATATATAAATACACGAATTAGATCTATCCGTCAATTTTTAATTACTACTAACCCCTGTTTTTTGTTGTGGTAGGAATGATACAACAGTGCTTGACGTTTCGGAAGGGGCCCGTTTCCAGCTTCATGAACTTAAAAACAACACTAATCTCAAAAAAATATTAAACAATGTTGTATGAGCGTGCATGCAAGTCGAATAAGTTACCCCCACCGTTGTAGAATAAGATTGGTTGATACACTACCATATATCCGTATATACTTGATCGGCGACACAAATTGCCGATCGCGTAGTCTGGTTTTAGAGGACCAAGGAAACATAATGTGACTCGATCTTAAAATGTGTGGCAAATAGTAACTTTTATGAAATGGAAATATATCTCTGTCCTTACGCTCCGAGTTTTTGACAGTAGGTATTTTTTGCTTCCAAGTATGACAACTGCCACTTTGCTGTTATTTAACTCGAACTAGTATGTTTAATAAACTACCTATTTCAATAAACATTATAAAGTGACAGAAGGAGCAATAGAAGTGAATTTATTACGAAATGGTGCAACAAAAACATGTGTTTTTGGTGACTGTAGAACGAACAGTCGGTATGAAAATTGGCGGTATCAACGACATGACTTTTTAATCCAAAGCCTGTCTAGATTATAAATTTAGAGAATCGCACGATAACAATTGTTATTGATAAAGAATCGCTTAGCTTAGTTTGTAAAACATAACTACCCGCTGTTCAATCAATTCTACTTTTTTCCCTTTAACTGGAAGGCCCCGACATTCAACCACGTTTTTCATTGTATAACACTATAGGCCTAAATTACTTTTTTTTTACAAATTTCTCTCCGTGAACATCAATTTAAGTTAAAACAATTCGCGTGCATTTCCCTGAAGACGCAATGTTTGTTTTGCTTGCCGACTCGATTTCTCTTATGGACTGTAACCATGTCAACAAATTGTCTGCGCAAGCGTACTACAGTTGCAGCCAAAAAATTTCAGACGTCAATGTCATTCAGTCGTCAGATAGTGTAAAGCAGCCTTTAGATGTTTCTAACCTAAATATTTGACAGTCATTTTTAACTTTTACATTTGACACTTACATGAATGCGTAAGCTGGAATTTTGAAAGTTTGACATTCCAGCTGTCCGAAATAATGACAATAAAGCATAGACTACATTAAAATTTTTGACATGACAGAAAAGTAATGTTTGAAATTTTTTGTCGGAAACTGTATATTCGTGAAAAGGTCTATAGGACAGGAGTCAGTTTTGTGACGGGAATAGTTCTTTTCGGTCTGTTGATTCGAAAATTCTGATACAATCTGTCGTAACCTCAGCAAATTTTCTTTGACAGTTCCTACATGGGTGCCGAGCATTTGATAAAAAAAATTACTAGTCTCGCGCTATCTTTTTCTGGCACATTAGGTTCCTCTCTGTCGAACTCCGGACACAGATAATTTGCCGTGCTTTCTAAAAGTAATAATAGATTTAGTGATTTAAGTGAACACGGACTATATGGAGATCTGTTTATGACCGATATAATTAATGAAGAAATCGTACTTATCGACTCGGATCAAATGACATCTAAAAATTTTGTATTGTTAAATCCCCAAAGTAACTATAATGAGTTCTGTACTACACGGTACAAGCGTTAAAAAACCTTTTCCAAAAATTGCAACGTCGCATCGAAATTCCGAAAATAAACTATGGCTATAACGCCTAGAGGTTAATCAGAATATACATGTAAAAATGTATAGGGTATTTATTTGAAAAAACTAAGTTGTTTTATTGTTTAAAAACGGAACCCTGTATAGCCGAAAATAAGTTTAGCATATGGTCCTCAAAGACCTATACAATTTTAGTCTTAAACCTTTTTTTCTATTTCTAATAATTAATAAGATATCGAAAACTCACCCTATGCGTGGTTTTAATATACTTTATTTATTCCAGATTTTACAGACATGATGCAGACGCAAATAAATTCGTCAAATAAAATAATAAATCGCTCACACCGGAGATATTGAAAAAAAGATTACATTTTCATTTGATGTGTTAAAAATGAAATGAACTACATGCGTGTTCACCTTTGTTAGAGTGATAAAATAATGAAGATTTACGACATGACACGGTAAATAAACTTAATATTACAAACTTTATTGTTTGCAGCAAATAAAAATAAATTTATTGTTCTGATTTTTTATTGACACGAACAAAAGATCGATTGTTTATTCGCTAAATTAACTAAACAACAAATTTATGTCTTCATGTCAATGGCTGGTATTTCACGATAACGAAATTATTGAAAAACGAACTTTAAGAATGAAATCACTAAGTACGGATAACAAAACGGAAAAAGAACCTACCAACTATAAGTAATAGAAGACTTACCTGTGAAGAAATTTGTTTGTGCGTAGTTCTAGGACTATCAAGAAGAGGCACAGGCGGAGTAGTCAAATCAAAACTTGGACTGAATTTAAGATCCTTAAGTGGATCCAGAAGTGGTTCAGTCTTTGGCTTGGCAGGTGGAACATACTCTGGACAGAGAAACACCTCGATTTCCCCTGTGTCACTCTTCAACTGAATACTGTACTTCTCGTCTTCCTTGGAAGCCGTTTTAACGGACAAATGAGTGTTCGGCGGGGCTTTGACAACTATAACAGTATTCTGCTTCAACTTTTCTATCGACCTTAAATCCTGATACGTGACAAACCCATTTTTATCGTTACTTAACCCTAAAAGCTGCGCTTCGACGGTATCAATCATCCTATTAAGGACGTTCTCTTGATCCTCAAGATCTTGCAAATCTTTCGTAAGTCTAAGAAATTTTTCGTTGTTTTTCTGGCTAGCCTTCCATTGTATATTATTTTTCGACTTCTTCTCGATAATTCCGATCCCCTCGAGCACGTTCGTAATATCGTATATCCGCCGCTTCTGTACGTTCAGCTGCTGGGACGCCTTGTTCAGGTCCACCACGCCGTTGGGTGAATCCTCCAGAAGAGCCGAGAACTTCTGCGTGAGGAGTCCTAGGGACGTGTCGTATCTTGTATTCTTCTTCGTAGGCGTTGCACGTTTCGGCTTTTTGGGATGAGGCGGCTTAAATTCTTGCTTCAAAGGAACTATTCGGTTTCGTTCGAGTTCTAGGTTAAGTCTGCGTTTGACGGGCGCGATGGCGTTCGGAGTCGCCGACGGAATCAACTGGTTTTGCGGAGTGGCCCCATAGCCATGGTCTAGCAAATGGGGGCTAGTCATGTACTCGGACTTGACGATGTCCATGTCGGGGGTCGAATCGGCCGTCATGGACTGGTACCCCCTGGGGCTCTCCGTGCGACGAAAAGGACGAGGCATTTTTGATGTGTCTACCACAAAAATTAACTCATTAAATTATTACCTACGGTGTTTTACATAGAATTTCTTCGCTTGTAATTTTTTATTAAGATAATAAACTAAACACCTCTACAGTATTAAAAAAAAATACATATATTGCGGTATTCTTATTAATACAATAGGTACATTGAAAAACTATTTTTTAAAACGTTTCTTTTATACACGTTTTTTTTAACGAAATTTTTCTTGTCTAACTGCAAAAATGTCCATCTCCCATTTTTGGTTAACTGTTTGTCAGCTGGCAATTCCATTGAAAGGTAACTTCCAAAACTACTGCTTTGATTAATATCAAATGTTGTAGTGAAAATGTAGAATAGTAAAACACTAACCAAAATTTATCCTTCCCATCTAAAAATTTAACGGCATCATCTCAGAACATTGCTTATCGATCTCATTTGAAATTTATATTAAGTATGTATAGGGACAAAAAATCTGCACAAGTTTCAAACTGGCATAACTTTATTCTTAAATGACGAATTAAAAACGTGATTGTTAACATTTACAACGCCAACTTTAAAGAGCACTATCTGCACCAATCTACTTGCTTTGCGAATTTTTGTTTTAATTTTAAATTTGTGAAAACTGATGTTTTGTCTTTTGATTTTCAGCGACATACATTACTCAATTCTGTATGATTGGAGGCTTTCCACCCAATTCGGAACATTTTTGTCTTTGGGAATAAACTGAATATTTAATTCATTATATGCATCAATATCGTTGACTGCGTAATGATTCAGAAAGACTTCTTCATTTTTGCTTTTGTTCCAATTTTTGTTTTTCTGAGTATTTCGGAGCTGATTTTCGCTTTGAAAGTATGACTTTATTCTCCCTTAATATGTTACTAACATTTTTTTGTCGATTTCAAATTTCTGTCAAATTTTCTTAGTGAAATTCAAAGTTTACTGTGGCTCTGGCTGATTAAGACTTCTCTCTTCTTCGGGGTCATTTTTCTTGCTGACATTCCACTTCCCATCTTTCCATCGAATTCCCATTCTCTAGACTTCTACAAATATTAGGACTTTTTTAAATGCATATGGTCTACATAAAATTCGTCAAACACATTTCGGGGATTATTTTCATTTAAGTGTTCCATTATCACACAAAATATTGAAACTTTCAATAACCAGCCATTTTTCTCAAAGCGGAATTGATCAATGGCGATTTAAAATTTGTGTGAATTTTTTGTCCCCACACCCATATAATATGCTTCTTTATCTGTGATTTTGATTACTATTTTATCCATATTTCTTAATGTTATTCATATGAGTTAAATTAGTAAAACAAAATATTAGATGTCCACCCCTAGTAAGTTACTCGAAATCTAGTAATCATTGAACATCGATTAATGTTTACCTATTTATCCTATTCAAAAATTTAATGACGTCACATGTAAAATTATTAACTTAAGTTTTATTAAAAAGTATGTTCTGGTCTGTTCGCTGATATATTTTTATTTTTTAGAATTGCTCACAATGAGGGTAATGCACAAAACAATTTCTTTCTAAAAGAAAATACAACTGTACCTTTTTTTTTAATTCTAGAAACACGTTATCGATATTAGCGACTACTAGTATATTCCCGCAAAAATAAGATGTCAATTTAAAATTTTCTCCTCAGTATATGTTGAGATGTCCTTGCAACTCGCATTATTTTTTTTATCATTAGACGTAGTTATTGTAAGCAAAAATAAAATTTAAAGAAAAAGATTTCTAAAAGTTGCAACTTCTTTGAAGTTTGACCAGATACCAACATTATTAATTTAATTTAATGATTACGGAACATCCATCAGAATTTAAATATTTGCAAAGAATATACTCCACGATGCTATCTATATTGTTTGTATTTTGGGTAAAGTATATGTTTTATTTTAAGAACTGTTTGTACAGTGCCAATCAATTAATTTCAACCTGAAGCTTACGCCGATAAATTTGGGCAATGGACATAGAAAACAGTTAATTATATCAATATTAAGACAACTTTCACTCTACAGAAGACTCGCAATTTATTTCCTCGCAATAATGAAGACTTCAAATTTTAGGACCCATTAACATCCTGATTAGTTTTATATAGACATCAAATGTAGGTAATATAAGCGTCTAATAAAACTGAGGAAATGCATAATTAAGATGTTCCGAAAAAAGTGTTCTGATACTGTTAGAGACGAAGAATACCTCATGGCGTGCAGGCTACTATTGGTCAAGTTTCCGAAAACGAGAAAGATACTCCTAAACTTTTTTAAATCAATTTTCTGAAATACTTTTTCCACTAACTCAAAATCATAAACGGGCTTCAACGTTATTGCAACGGCTGTTTATACAAATATCTAACACTAAGCAGTGGTTATCGTTGACAGTTTTCTGAAGTACAGTCACTGAAGCATCCTCACCTTTTATTAATTTAGCCAAGTTGGTGAACTTTTTCAATCTTGAAATTTGGTTGACAATATTGATTCTTAAACAAACCTCAATAAGTGTTTCAATCTCGTTAATTTTAAATAGGCTGTTAAAATTTAATAGTAACACATTTCGCAAACAAATTAAATTAATGCTCCAATATGTAGTTTTGAATTAAAGCAGTAAACAATTGAACTAAACGACTCATGTAATTTTATTGGATGTTAATTTTCTTCGGGCTGCAAATAAAAAAAAATCTCAGGTTATTTGGAAATAACTTCCCTCACTTAAAGTAGAGTTGAACAAAAACAGCTTCTTCGGAAAATTATAAAATTTAATTTTGCAATTTTTTTCTGTAACACCTGTAAGTTAAAATATGTGTGGGCTGCTAAAGTACATACAGGTAAAGAAACATGTAATAACAGTATTATTTCTCAAATTTTCGGGAAAATGTCGGGATCGTACCTGGGGCATTTCATAGGTAAAGCGAGCACTCTACAACTGTTCCACATACCGTTTCACTCTGCTTCATATAATGTTTTGTAATGAGGATTAAAGAATAAAAATTATAATAATAAATAAAATTATGAGGAGTATGTTATTTTATAAAATTTAAATAGTTTTACTATGCAAAATATTGACGTGACGTCAACAAATTGTTGGTGAGAAAGATCATTAATCAGACAAATTATGGTCAGCGTTTTATCATCTGCACGATATTCCTAACATACCTATAAAATTTCACAAGAGATAACAGAGAGACGGAAACGGGGACTAATCCTTTTCATACTCTATGGATTATGAAATGTCGCGAAAACATTTAGCGTAGCTATTCGCCGGATGGACTTATTACAATACTTCCTTAGCTTACGATCGGAAAGTGAAAATCAACTATTTTTCTATAGAACAGATTAATGTTCAAATAAAATATACGACACTTATGCAAAATAGAAGTAATACTAAATTTGAATAAAACTACAACTGTCAAAAAGATAGATGATTTCTTTACATACACACTTATTTAATTAGTGAAATAACAAATTCTAAACAGATGCTGTAATAAACAGGAGTGTATCACGATAAATGTAGGAGAGTAGTTTCAGATATGAATTCATAGATTTTCATGGAAATGATTAAGATGTACACCACTGAAAATTGACACATAAGCAACTATCATAGCTATCCTGAAAACAACATGATGCCAAGTTATGTAAGTTATAACAAATTTAATCTTTAATTTTATTATTTTTATTATTACAGAAATCAATAATAACATTATAATATGGTAGTTTAAATGGAGATTTGCATAGAAATAAACCAATTGAGTAACTTTTACTGCGACTGATGTACCGTACTTTGAATTAAAATTGAATAATTATTTTTTGTTATTCATTCATCACGGTGTCCACTTTATTTATATTTTCGTATATGAATAAACTCACTCACTTCGCTGCATTTTTAATAATAAATAAAAGTGTCACGTCTGATTTCTCCATACAAAATTTGAATTAAATTTTGAAAGCGTCATCATTAATTTTTTTATTTATTGGGCATCTGAGACAACTTTACAATCTCGACTGAGATAAGTCAATTTGGAAATGCGATTGATATCTCCTTGGATCTCCCTCCACAATTCTCCTAAAGTGACGTAATGCCAGCATAGTAGTTATATGCGGAAATTAATGTAATTTCATCAATAGTCAACTCAATGGTAATTTGACAGCAAGAAATTGTAGGGAAGTCACTACAAACTAGTTATTACTTGAGTTTAAAAAATGAGGATATGTAAAATATGTAAGTAGCAATACATAGTGGGACGTTTGGTAACTGTACGTCATAAGTGTCACAATAAAATTGATAGTTTCAAAATCATAAGCTAAAATAATCTCTTATCAATATAGTTCACCCCTGAAGAACGTATTTTTTTTTTGTTTTTATATATAAATTTATCCGTCGTGTAAAATTCTGGCTTAGGGTCCTTTCGTGGTTCAAAAAAAAAACCCGCTGCGAATGTATTAACAACAACACCAAAGAAATACCTTCAGCAAAACTCACCTCTACTTCGCGAACGTAAGCCAGCGAGGTATACGTCTCATTTCGTGTCTTCTCAACGTAAATTGTAAAGTGCTAACCAAAATTAATTTATTCATTTTAAGCTACTGATGTTACCACCTCAAAATTTTGGCAACTAAATCTCACTTGAATTTTATATTGGAACTTGCCACTTTATCTATTGTTTAATTAATTATTATCTAAGCATCAACGGGAACCTTCGAACATACAAGTGATAATAAAAAAAAAAATTAAATTTATTGAATGAAATTCTATCATTCATTTTAGAACCTATATAACGAGCTTTTCTGAATTTTTTACAATTCACAAACATTGATTTAACGATTGCAGACATGGATTGAAATTTTCTTTAATATGGTTTTATTACTCTATTGTTCCACCAGAACAGTTATTCTTTATGACTATAGTATCAATACGCTTGAAAAATGTAGTAATACCAGCCTGCATATGTAAGGTTCAAAGCTCGATCCCCCGATTTACATTTTTTATTTTATTCAAAAATATGC